GTCCTCTTCACATTTCACACTATTTAGTAGGGCCAAATTCCAACTTAACCAATAAATTTATTTGCATGGAGAGGTGAGATTCGAACCTAGAACCGAAATACCAGCATACTAAAAACTAGCGATGATATTTTATTTTTATTTGTCACAATTAAAGATAACCGAGAGAAGAAAAATATATAGTTCTTGCCAATAGTATTAGCAAATTAAGCTCTTCAAATTAAAACATTTCATAAATCGCAATATTAAGGTACCCTATTCAGTCATGTAAAAAGGGAGGGGGAAAAATTCACAATGCTCAAGTCAAACGAAAGAGGAAAAGAAAGAGAAAAAAAGAAAATTAGGAGTTTTTAGTGCAAATATCATAACCTTATTGAGGGGTTTGTTGGGACCAATCTGGTCCCTATATGGGTCCGCCCTTGCTAAAGAGAGTGATAGAGGTTGCAACTTTGATGACTAAATTTGTAAGGCTCTTGGAGAGAGTTTTGATTATGTAACTCACCTATTTTTGCATTCCAAAGTTTTTTTTTTGACACGTCATTCCAAAGTTATTGAAGAGGCCGTTTAGAGATCCTTGGAAAAATACAAACCAATAAATAATTATTTTCTTTATGATCAGAAAAACACTTTTAAAAGATATTGACGTTTATTTTTATTTTTATTTTCCAAACTATAAAAACGTTACCAAATGAAAGTGTTTAAGTTGTCACTTTTCATTAGCCAAGACCGTCAACGTCATGAAGTCAATTAATTTATTATTATTATTTTCTTATCAAAATGAAGTCAAGTAATTATCTCATCGGGATAACGCGTTCCTCAAAACTTTTCCATGTAGGATGTTACAAGTATAAAAATTACTCAAATAGTCTTCAAATTTATACTCGATTTACATTTTGGTCCCTTAATTAAATTATTTTTTCAAATGGTCCATCAACTCTATATTATTCGCTCCATTGGTCATACCGTTACATTTTGTCAATATTTTCGTTAAATATGAGGGCAAATTGGTCATTATTTACCCTAAAAGTATGTTTAATCTAACAGAAAATTAGACGATAGGACCACTGGAGCGAATAATATAGAATTGATGGACCATTTGAACGAATAATTTAGTTGAGGGACCAAAATGTAAATCAGGTATAAGTTTAAGGACAATTTGAGTAATTTACCCTAACTTGTTATTAATTTTAAACTTAGCTAGTTATGTTTAATTATCTTTAATTGGATTGTCACGTTGTCTTCTCTTGTGGAATTGTGTCTTGTTGTTGTATGCCAATTATATATATGAGTGAATGTATAGTTATTTGATTTTTTGTTTCCTTATGTTCTTATTAAATTTGATTTTGACTCATGTTTTTTTTTTTCAAAGTTAGGAAAGGAGAGGGGGGAAAACTCATACACACGGGTACCGTGGAGGTTTGAACTCAGAACCACTTAGGAGCACACCAAAAACCTAGTCCAATCTAACTAACACCACAGAGTAATTGTCATAGTTTGGTGCCACAAAGTTAAACTTTGCGGAGGCGCTTTTGCCTTTTGTCCTTCTAAAGCTTTCAATTTTTCTCTTGTTCTGTTTTATCTTTATTTAATCTTAAAAAAACAAAGACCTAAAGTAGGCTTTGAGGAGAATGTTAGATTGGAAGTGTGCCACTATTAGTAATTAATTAATTATAATAGACGAAAATATAAACACCTTATAACTTGTCTATTTTTAATCCCCAAAATGAAAAATCATTTACCTCTTCCTTCATGTTCTCCTTCATCCTAGGCACTAGATGAGTAACAACCATTACAAATTTTTTTGGCAATATAGTTACTTTTTTTGTTGTGACTTTAGAGATTATTGGGTACGTTTTTCCATGAATAATCCATGACTAAAGGCTTTATTCTCGGAAAAACATGACCAATAGTCTCCAAAAGAAAAAGAAAAAAAAAAAAAAAAAAAAAAGAGGAGGGTGATCACTAACATTTTTTGTAGTGAACCATCAAACAGGCATTGTAGCTTGATAAGATAATAGGGGCACTATATGTGA